CCCCAAACCGTGCACCACAACGCTTAAGCATTCATTTTTATTTTAAAAAACTACTTGGATAAATTCAAGGTAAAATATTTATGCTTTGTTTCTTTCCTGTTTTCAGTCTTTTTCCTCTTCTTAACTTCCTAATACATGTACTTCATTATTATTAATATTCCGTTCGTAGAACGGGTACTTTTACTAGTATATATATAAAGGGTTGTTCCATCCAGTCGTGATATTATGGTTGTAATATTATTTTTTGCTCCGCGATATTATTACTGTACTACTAGACCTACGCGGGTGCAAAAAATCTCGACGGAGTTACCAGGTGAAGAATAAGTGCGGGGGAGGGGAGTGGGGGCGTATATTGTAAGCCCAGAAAAGAATGTTACGCTTTGTGAAATGCAGTGGGCTAAACTGTAGATTCAAATCTGCTTTATTTTTAATCTTAAATGTGGTGTGAAGCAAAAATATACAATAAATGTAATGCAATGTAATACATGTAGCCTAATTTAAAATGTATAATACATGTACATAGTTCAAACTGACGAAAGACCTGGCAACTTCAGTGGCCTGTGCCACAGTCATTTGCTTGGCATGATGCAACCTCACATGTGAAAAAGAGTAGGCTCAACCAAGGGTATACATTATATAAACAAATATTTCAGGGTAAGTACCATTAACAGTATTAAATGCGTTTAAGCTTTAGAAATTAATTTTATGCTCTGAAAGTGAGAAACAGAGTAAATAGAATAAAGTTAAATGTTTGTTTTAGCCTGTAATTTCACATCAATATTTAATATTTCTTTTTATGTGGCTTGATTTGATGGTTCGTTGGATTGATTTCACCACCTTAACGTGTGTGTTACCAGTCAGTCTGCTAGACGTAAACAAAACCATCCAGGTACGATATTAATCAAATTGTCGCTTTGTTTAGTTCGGGAATTGTGATACATTTAGTACTCTAAAATAAATGTGAAAGGATGTTTAGTACCAGTGTTGTAAAGATGTGCCTCAAAAGATTCAATTTCAAAAACTGTCTCTGTAACCTGGCCGAGTTGAGGGGTGGCAACCTGTCCGGAAATGAGAAGAGAATTTATGGTGGTACCCCCAAACAAGGGACGTGTGGATGACATATGGCTCATCATTGTTGGAAGTTTTCCTCATTTCATTGTCGAGGAAATGTATCTTGTAAAGCAGGCTTTCAAATATTCCTCTCCTTCAAGTCACTGGTCTGTAAGTGACCCCCCAACATCATGATTCGCCACTGTCATTTCTTTGTACTTTGAGTTTGTTCTGCTAACTAAAAAGTAGACTATTTTGTTGGTCAAATAAATAGTAGGCCCTAATGACTTTCTATCTTCAGATAGATCTAGACTAGAGACATCGGCCCTTTGCGCGATCATGCCCTGAATTCGACCAGTTCCCCATTTTTCCTTTTGTGCAGCTTGTGTTCAATATGTTTTATTAGAGTTACGTGCCTTGTCTAGTTCCAATTTTGGTCAATCCTTTTCCGAAAAGGTCAGTCGTCTGCTAGTGCAGCAGTCGAGTTCGAAGTGAAAGGCTTATCGAAAACATTCTTCGAGGAGTCTTCTTCAGTTACTAAACTAGAGTAGCTGGCCCAATCCGCGACCACTTGTCTCTCTATACCCTCTGTATATAATTGTTTCATCATAATTTGCTAAAGAAATGATTAAATACTTTAAGTAGTGTACTAATAACTTTCTTGCACCTGTTATGTCTGTTCGCGCATGGTTGCGCCCCATTCCGTATGCGGTTGCGCTGAGGGCATGCGGTCGCGCCAAGGGCAGAACATTATGATTAACATATTAAAATGCTAAATCTACCAATGACGTTTTAGAATGAGAGTGACGATATCATGGTATAAACCGGAAGTTGACACACTAAAGCGGCCTTGAACATGGATTGCCTGACCTATTTTGCCTACAGAGACCGCTGAGAAGCAAAATTCGACAAGTGGTCGCGGGTTGGGCCAGGTACTCTAGATCTTTTATTCGTCCACTGAATATTCAAAAAAAAAAAACCCCTGTCTTTTTCAGGATGGCAGAGACAAGTCCATCTACGATGACCCCCGAAGAAAAGCTTGCTTTAATAAAAAGGAACCTTCAGGTATGTTGACTTTTAATTAAATGTTTGTCTCAGATTCCATCATTATATTAAGAATAATAAGTTAGTGTGGATATTGTTTCTTTGGCATGTTTGGTGTTCAGAGAAAGTTTTTGTCTCAGAGAGTGTGTGTTTTAATTTGTACAGCCCAATCCTTTGTGATACTCAGACACGCCTGTAAATCCTGTTCTTTCTGAGCTAATCCTGTTCTGCATAATGTCACTATGTGAAATACTATGATAGTGCTACTTTTAGGGAATTCTCTTGACTTTTAATTAGAAAGGAGTTGCCATCTCCATAAACTCGTATGCGTGCTGTAATGGTATACGGTGGATTTTTGTGGAGTCTTTGAGCACAACCTGCAAAAGAGTTTGTGATTCTACATCCATCCCACCCACCCGTAAACAAAGTATCTCACACATCTTTCCACTGTGCTGCACTTTGATGACTGCAGATGATGTACCTCGATATATGCTTAGAAGCCTCCTAGGATCTCTTTTATCTTCAGACTACGCACATAACCTCGAAAACTGCCACAATTTCTGTTTCAGTAGTTTCCAACTTGTAACTGGATTACTATACATACTTACTGACGCTCATGATTGTAGAAACAGACAGGAAGAAACTTCACTTTATAAGATTCGAATCAGTGTAGTAACAGAAAATAAACAATTCATCATCAGAGGTCTTACTTTACATATATTTCAAACTACCATCATACCTCTATGTACACACACCCCCCCCCCCCCCCCCCCCCCCCCCTGTGTACCACCAACTTCGTGCTCGTCCCTAGGTAGGAGATATAACAAAGCTAAATCTCTCAACTATTCAAGAGGACTTTCAAGGTCCAAAATTCCACAAGGACTGAAAAGTAAAATCATGTCTTCTGCTATTCCTTACGACAGGGGCAAAGTTTGAATTGTCGAGCAGATGACTTGTTTAGCAATGGTCAGGAGACTGCCATGCACCTTAGCTAGTCTTGAGCTGAGCAGGGTTGGGTTGATTTAAATCAGTTGATTTTTTAAATTTAAATCAAATTGATTTTTTAAATAAAAATCAGTGATTGAAATCACTTTTTAAAAAATTTATTTTTATTCAGTTTTTACACATTTCAGCATTCAGAATTCCTTTCCTTGGTTTCATAAAACAGATAAAAGATTTAGTAGAATATAATCATGCTTAAAAAGTCTGCTTTCCCCCCTTTCACTGAAAAATAATACAGTATTCAATTTTTTTTTTTTCCATAATTGAAATCAGAGCTGGGTTGATTTAAATCAGTTGATTTTTTAAATATTTAAATCAACTTGATTTTTAAAATAAAACTCAGTGATTTAAATTACTTTTAAAAAATGTATTCTGTTTTTACATATTTAAACATTCAGAATTCCTTTCCTTGGTTTTATAAAACAGTCAATGTAAAATAATACAGTACTCAATTTACTTTTTTTCATAATTGAAAACCAGCGTTGGGTCAATTTAAATCAGGTCGATTTAAATCAGTTGATTTTAAAAATTTAAATCAACTTGATTTAAACATGAAACTCAGTGATTTAAATCACTTTTAAAAAATGTATTGTTTTTACATCTTTAAACATTTAGAATTTCTTTCCTTGGTTTTATAAAACAGATATAAGGTTTAGTAGATTAAAATAATCATGCTTAAAAGTCTGCTTTCCCCCCTGTCACTGTAAGTAGTAAAATAATACTGTATTCAATTTACTTTTTTTTCATAATTGAAATTAGCATTTTCTTTTTCTTTTTAGACAAACACAAGCACACGCACACACACACACACACTGTAATAAAATGCAAGTTTATCTATGCATAATTACCCCTCCCCCTTCGTTTTAGACTGACATTTTCTTCATTTTTTTGCCTGTAGCCATAATTCACTGATATAGCAGATTAAGGCTTTCTCAAATTACAGTTGCTTAAATTAACCATTAGTTAAAATAAAGACAATGCATTTTTCACTAAAAGAACTTACTTTTAGTCACAAAAAATCCCAAACTGTGTCGACATTAAAAAAAAATATATAAAAAATCCGATTTCAATTTAAAAAATCTGATTTAAATTTTAAAAATCGATTTTTTAAATTTTTATTTAAAACATCAAAAAAATCACCAACCCTGGAGCTGAGCCTGATGCTACTGGCCTGATGTGTTCACGCATGTATAATTAATGTTCTGGTTAGTCTGCACCTTCTACTTATTATCTCTTTAGGCCTTCCTAAAGAGAATATGGATATTAAATAGGCTGAGGGGGCTCTCGTGGCCTAGAGGTTAAGGTGTTGGCCCCTCATTCAAAGGTCCCGGGTTCGAATCCGGGTAGCGACCAAAAAATGTTCTTCTCTAAAATTGTCTCCTTTCACCTCCTTTCCTGTTCTCTAGCAATGTTCTGTTGTCTGCTTTCATTTCCACTTTCTGCCCCCACCCCCTCAACTCCTTTGCCCCCTCCTCTGGGCTCCTGACTCTTTCTGCAGCCTTTCTACTGTTACTCCTTGGCTCCTCCTTACTGCTGTCTTTCTGCCACGCCCCTGATCTTCTGGTAGGAAAGATCTACACCTAGCCTTCTCGGACAAGGGTGAAAAATCTCGGAGGGCCCGTGTGCAAGTTGCGCACGTTAAAGATCCCTTGGTGGTCTAAAATCGATAAGAGTAGGCTTCGGCCGCCACCCGGGCAAAATTCAAAATTTCCTACCAACTGAAAATATTGGGTGTGTCCCGTGCGCTCATATGACCTTATGCAGTTGCGAGCGCCGTAAAACACTTTACAAAAACAAAACAAAAAAAACCCAAATAGGCTGAAGCCTTGCAGTGTTCTCAGGTGTCTATAATTAAAGTTCTCGTGGCCGGTTTCTTTTGCTAATTATCTTTGTACTTGGAAAAAATTAGTACCTCAATGCAGGCAGAAACCCATCCATCAATGACTTTTCAGGGTAGCCTCCCGCGTCGCACAATCCACCACAGCTGAGTGTTTTCTGATCATGATTTTGAAAATAAAAGGGAACTTTGCAGAATTAGGGGCCACAAGTTGTAAATCTCCACCCTTACACTAAGATTCCCTGCTTTGTCTGATGCTGAGCCAATATCAGATATATGCCTAATGTTCTATAGTAGATCAATTGTGCCTCAAAGTTGTGCTAGTGACCTGCTTTTGTTACAAAAGTTAGTCTGTTGATGCTGCACTGGGCAGCAGCGTTCAAGATTATAACTGTGCCTGATGTTTATGTACCCTAGCTGTTTCCATTTTGTTATTACATTCCTTTTAAAATTTCCCCAACCCAGCAGTGCAGGACTGGTGTTTGTGCTTGAATGGAAGATAATCATCTATAATTAGCTCTGGTGTTTTCCCTTGGAATCGAAAGTTGTGGGATTTTTTTTTTTTAAGAGTAGCCGTCATGAAAATTTTTTGTGTGTTGCGTTTGCTGGTCCGAGAGACGAAGAGTGAGGTCAAAGGTTAGTTGGGTCGGGGCTTTTAAAATTTTATTTTGGGTATCAGACACTGAGCTGTCTGTTCAATTTTGCATGTTCAATTCATCATGAATTTTCAGCATTATTTGTTCTCATTTCCTATGACTACCAGACCATATCACTTTCACTTGTATTGGAAATAGGATCAAGAGTTTAACATACCCATTGTGCTGACGGATTTTGTTTCAATTTTGTAACCAGGAAATCGTTGGCGAAGAGCGTCTCGTTGAGATGCTTCGTGAGCGAGATATCAAGGTGTACTGGGGGACTGCCACCACTGGGAAACCACACATTGCCTACTTTGTGCCCATGTCAAAACTCGCTGATTTCCTGAAGGCTGGCTGTGAGGTGAGTAGTCTTCATGATCACGGACTGAATTCAGTAGACTCTCTGAATTGAACATAAGTGTTGGGCTTTGTTATGGTAGTTTGATAGTTTGTACATTTTGTTATTGCTTGAATGTTTTATTTGCTTAACATTTGACCCTAGGATTACTGTTAATCTCAGGTGAAATGTTGATGGCTTTTTTTTTTCCTGTTACAGTATGTGGGTGGTTGGCAGGTGCTCTGGTGTGGTTTGCTCCATCTTTCCTATCAAACATCTATCGTCCTTATCTCTCCTCCTCTAATCTTCGGCACTTATATGACCTTATTGTGTTGTAAGTGCCGTCAAACACTATACTAACTAAAACTAAAAACTAGTACAGTATATTAGTGCAGTGTTATTTATTTCTGCATTGTTGTATTTAAAAAAATAAATTTTGCACACCAAGGTGACGATTTTGTTCGCGGATCTTCACGCTTACCTGGACAACATGAAAGCGCCGTGGGATCTGCTCCACCTGAGAGCCCAGTACTACGAGGCTGTGATCAAATCCATGCTCAAGTCTATCGGTGTGCCTCTGGAGAAACTCAACTTTGTGAAAGGAAGTGACTACCAGTTGAGCAAGTGTGTACCCTCAGGGTTTTTTTTTCTTTAATTAATTATTTTTTAATTGATCCCAGAAAGGCAATTTGATTTACAATGGCAAATGTACGTACGTACATAATTACATTACATAAATACATAATTATAAATGCATAACATAAATGTGAGGCAGCGTGGTGGAATCGGGCTCTCGTCAATTTTTTGGGTATCATCTTAAAGCTTGTTCACTTGTCTTTATTTGGGTGAAAAAAATGTCAGTTTATCTTGAATACAAGTCGAGATATTTGCGAAAGAAGGAGATAGAGGTCACCTGTTTCCAGAGGTAAAATTACTGAGAAAATGGCCGCCAAAGATTAGTTATTTCCTTAGCTTAATAGTATGTGGTTACTGAAAATTTACATTTTTTGTGCCTTTAATCAACTTTTTTCAGAAAAATTCACTTAGAAATGAGTTGTTTAATGGGCATGAAAGGTGTTGAGCCAAAAAACAAAAATTTGATAAAAATGCATAAACCTGCGGAAAAATGCAAGTTTCTTCACTTTGATTATTTTGACGAGAGCCTGATTCCACCATGCTGCCTCACAAATATGTACACATAGTATACATAAATACACTGAATTACTGTAATTATACCGATACAGAACAATTTAACAATCATGCCATTGCTTGTCACCGCTGTGTTTTGTGTTAAAATCAGTCGAGTTATCGGGGTGTTTTGTTTTTTGAGTTAGTTTTTTGTTGTTTTGTTGGGGGGGGGA